CAATTACAATTAATCATGAAGTTTAATGCTGATTAAATTTTTATCATACCCATTGCTAGGCCATTATTCAAACACTTAATTGTCTACTGATTTCCGTTTTCCCAATCCTTTTACCCCTCCATGGCACCTGATTATTTTCATTATTATCATTAAGGTTTTTCGTCTTCAGCGGAAGACCTTCTTACTCATAGGTTTCTTTTCACTATTCTTATTTTTTTTCCTTACCGATTTTGTGCACGCGAATTCTCTGAAACGCTTTTTTACGATTTTCATTGTCCTTTCAGAATTGATAGAACATGAAAAAGAGACTTACCGTTATAAATCACAGTTTATGTTAACGGTCTTCAAAAACAGTAGATAAATAAGTATTAGTTCTTTAAATCCAAGTTTACTACAACGGGTTGAGAAAAGATGCACTTGGAAAAGAAAGTGTATAATTTTGCGTAAACTTGTCTTCTTCATTTATATAAAAAAATGATGCATGCCTTAACGCAAAAATAAAAAAAACAAACAAAAACTTAAGAGTTAGGCATAATGAAATGCCGAACTGTGTTTAAATGCCTAAACAAATTTCCTTTTTTGCAATCGATCGTTTATTTTTAAACTGAGAGGGTAAACAAACAGGAAAGGCTGTGGGTAGAAACAGTTAATGCACGATATGGGAATAAAAATATTGAATGTAAAGAACTTTGATCGATCGGAGAAATATACATAAAATATTAATCTCTGAATGGGGCATAAGAACACATTTCCAGATTTGAAATTCGAGTTTTAATAGCATAAAAAAATAATAAGTTCTTTGATATAGACAGAATAGCACTATTAGTACACATTACTAGTTTATTACATTGTGGTCCTGTATAAACATATTTAGTGACAGATAAAAAATTGAAAGAAGAAAATAGAGTAAAACAAAATAAGTATGGCAGATAATATCAGGTATATTTGCACATGCTTTTATATACACTGACTATTTAAAAAAACATTGTTCCATGAGATAAATTCATTATATACTGGACAAAACAAGTTAAGGACCATCAAATTAAATATGTTTAACAAATACTGTATCAAAGAAAACAGAATGCAGTTTTAATTTTAGTATCATATTTTATATCTAAAAAGTTAAAATTAAACATTGGATGTGAAAAATTTGTTTGAACACACGTTACGAATTGTTCATAACGGTCACTTTAGAATAAGGCATGTTGGGGGTAGACCTGAAAATGAGATTTTTTAGAAGAGTCAAATTACGTCACTAAAATGATTGCCAGTATTTTGTATGACCTCCGTGTGAGGCCCTGAAGCACAGACCCATGCTGTCCACCAGCCGTACAAGGTTAGCCTAAGGGATCTGTTGCCATTCCACTTACAATGCTGTCTAAAGCTCCCGTCGATTTTGGGGAAGTGTAAGACGAACTGAAATGCGTTGCTAAAGAATGTTCCAGGCATGTTCAATTAACTTCAGGTCTAGAAAATGACTTGGTTGGTCCATGCGCTAAGTTGTTTCACTTTCCATGTAATCGTTCACGGTTCGGACTCTATGAGATCGAGCATTATCGTCCATTAGGGTGACATCCTCTCCAGACCTGGGGTCAATTACTTTGAAATGTAATGCATTACATTACAATTACTTTGGAATTTTTATCATTACAATTACAATTACCATTACTCTCATTAAGAAAAGTAATTAAATAAATTACAATTACTTTGTTAAAGTAGTTAATTACATTACACATTACATTTTATAAGAGAAAAACACAAAACGTATCACCACATAATTTATACCTATAAATTAACTTTCACACTTTTTGCTCTATAATATGCTTTCCTTCAGATCTATAAATCAGAGTTCTTTTTGGATTTTGGATTCATGTATTATGGTCATGTAGTTTACCAATCCTACAGTTGACAAAGAAAGCGGATCAGAACACTTTTGTAGTTTTGTTCAATATCTGATGTTAGTTTCTCTGTTTTTGTTTTTTAAATAAATGATTTATTGAACATTTCCTACTAGATGTTTTAGGTAAACTAATATTTAATTAACAGATAATACTACAAATGCATAATTAGTATTAAAAACTTAATGAATTAATTAGCACTTCTAATTAGCTTAACAGGTATAATCAATGAAGCCATAAGCTAAACATAACCAAAGGTGATAATTACAAGTACTTGGATGTAGGGTTTAAATTTTGAGGCCTTAAGCTACCAAAAAATGACTGATGGTCAATATATCAGTCTATATTAATATTTGGCTTTAGTTTCTCTTTGTGTCTACAATAAATCATACTGATCTTGTATCATGTTTACCAAGCCCATTTTAACAGACTGAAAAGGGAAAAAAGTAGAAAAATACAATTTGTATCTTAATTTAACTGTAAGTCTCACTATAGCTGTATTAATATCACTTTTTTAAATCTTTCTTTAAAACCTAATGATTTCGTTTATTATTTTTCTTTGGTTCTCTTCAATTGATTTTACAATTGTCTTAATTGTCAAGAAGATTTCTATTAAAAGAATTATTTAGTTTGTCTATAAATTACCATTTAATAATATAAAAAAATATTGTAGGATATAGGATTTTAATTTGAAGACTCTATCATTATTAATAAAAAAATAACTTCTCATTGATATTTATTTGTTTCAGATTCAAAAATAAAAATAGACTAATATATAAAATGTAATTGAAAAGTAATTGGTCATTACAGACATTTTTTTAAAGTAATGCATTACATTACAATTACTTGTAATTGAAAGATTGATCCATTACACATTACACCCATTACTTTGAAAAAATGTAATGATAACAATGCATTACCATTACACATTACCATTACCTCAGGTCTGATCCTCTCCAAGAGTACATGCAATGCGTCTAACAATAGGATGAAGAATATCATTCTGGTATTTTAAACCTGTCAGGTTGCCTTCAAAAATGTGCAGATCAGTTTTGCTGTCTATACTTATGCTTGCCTAAATCGTCACCAAACCTCCATTTACTCAGTATTGCTCAGATATGACACAATCAGCATATCTGTCCCCATTTGCATTCCAAACAAGTCTTCTGTCATCATCGAAGTAAAAAAAAATCGGGACTCTTCTGAGAAGAGAACAGAACAATAAATGACGTTATTGCCAAAATTTTGTGTTCTGTTGCCCACTGAAGTCGATTTCTGCGGCACTGTAATTTTAATACAGGACCTACAGCTGGTCAGCAAGCCTTGAGATTTGCTTCCTGAAGTCTGTTTCAAACTGTTTTAGTAGAAACCTGCCTTTCCCTTGCTCTCTGATGCCCAGTATTAAGCTTAAGGGCACTTTGGAAGCGCTTCGTCTCTGCAAAATTGGCCAAACAACGATCCTCACGGACTGCCGTACACTTTGTACACTTTGGACGTCCCGATTTAAGCCTTTTTTGATAATTTTCTGCCTGTAAATATCGGTTCCATAACCATTAATTCCGCTTTGGGAAAGATAAAGTCTTTCTGCAACGTGCCAGCTTCCAGCATCCCTGCTGCCATGGAGTGTTCGTCCATACGCACAAGCCTCCTCATAGAGTCCTATCACCAGTTCTGACCAGACATACTGTAATTTTCTTATGTTCACTCAAAAAAACCCTCTTTGATACTTTTTTGCTTCCATTGTTCCATTTACTTTTTTAACGTCACGTACTTTTTTGACCAATATGTCCCAAAACTCATTAAACACGTGTGACTTAATTCCATATTCTTGGAACATTTTGACATTCGTATATTAAGTGTTTGTTTGTTCCAACACTTTCCTTACTTTATGGACACAGATTAAATATCTCAATCCATTTGCTTAAGTAGCTGCTATATTATTAACTTTGGGTCTATGAGAAAACCAGGCAGGAGGCCATACATGAAGTGTCACTCACATTAATTAAATTTTCCAAAAAGACTCCAACAGTATAGCATATAATCACAAGAAAAAAAATTCTGAAAATTTTCAATATTGGGGCCCACCAAGGGGGTACTCCATAAGCCACCATCTTTATCATCATTTTGTATTTACAATTTTGTAAAAATTGCTATTTTCATTCACCATTCTCTTCTTTTCATTAAAATATTGAGTGATCAAAAGTAAGAACAAAAGAAAATATATATTATTTATTTCATTTTGCACAATTTTTTTTTGTCTTAAAAATCAATGCTATATTTAAACACAGGGGGAATAACTCTTGATATAAAAGAGACTGAAAAATGTGGGAAAAGGGTCGATATTGGAAATGTTTTAAACCTGGGTTTGGCCGCTTAGATTTTAAATTATTTTGTTTTAAGATAAAGATTGTGAACTTAATAATAATTTCCTACAGGCAATTATTCGGGTTTTGATTATTGGTGACACTGTGCGATTTTGAAATTGAGGAATTTTTCCAAAAAATTGTGATTTTTTGCGACAGAGTTATTTCCCTTTGTTTCATACTTTTATAAACTATATTAGGCTACTATTTAAAAAATCAATATTTTCACTTCAAAAATGGTATGTACAATGACTGAACATTTTGGTAAAAATACTTCTGTACACGTGGATAGACCAGTAGTCTCTGAGGAGACTGTAGCTCCACTGTTTTGTTTTAACAAAGGATGAAAAAAGTAGCCATGACAATATTAGTTGATGCATATTTTCTTGCACAATCTATTTTGTACTTTGTTAAACCATGCGACGTTTTCCAAAGTTCAGTTTTTGAAAAGTTGTTCACAAAAAATGATAGTATCTGTACTTGACTCTGATGCCCATCAGCCTGGTGATCCTGATTGTATGCTTTTATTAAGGCTTCTGTAAATGCATCAGTTTCTATCTTTTTTCCTCCAGCATGTAATATTTTTTATATAACAAGTGCATTAAAGCATTTTCTTGCAAGGTGCAATGCATTCAAAGGCACACTGAATAACTTCATTGGCTTTCTGTGTCACATAGTCTTTTATAGACTGCTGTACCTCATCTAATGATGTATTCAGGGTGAAGCGTAAGGGCGTGAATTTACCATTAGACAGTTTCATACTCCTGTTTAGCTTTTCTCGATAGTATGTGGGTCGTCTCCAGTAGTCACATACAGTTCCTTAGGATGACTGACTCAGACAAAACTCGGTATTCTGACTGGATTGCTCTGAAAAAGATAAGTTTTGATAAGAGATATTGTAAATGTTGAAGACGACATAATTCTGACTATAATCACACTTCAAAGACAATTCTTCCATGGAATATTAAACATAAGAGGCCCATGGGCCATATCGTTCATCTAGGCACTGTGGCTAGGAAAAAAGCAGAAATCAGTTCAGTATTTTTTTCCCATACAAGTATAAACTGATTATCGATCGTGGCCCCGCCCCAGCCCTGGGGGTCATGATTTGAACAGATATGAATCTACACTACCCCACTGGCCAGGATGCTTCCCTATAAGTTTCATCTTTCCGAACACACTGTGGTTCTTAAGGATGTACAACACACCTACCCCAAAATATTCCTGTCGTTTAATTTTCGCTATTTTGTATATTTAGTACATGAGTTTATTTAGTTCTGTGTGTATGCACATTTTGGACAAAATCGTTAGAGTGGTTTTTGGACAGGAAATTCCAAAAGTTACCCCCCTTTAGTTGTTTACGGGAAGAGAAAATTTTTAATCAATAAACTACTTAAACCTTGATTTTCAAAAAAGCCAGGTTAGCTATAGCTGTCAAATTTCATTGACTTATTCCTTTAACCATTTAACAAAGAAACAAGAAAATTAAAAAAAAATGTTTTTGCAGATGTCACAGTCAAGGTCACAAGGTCATTGACCTTGGTGTCATTTGAAAGAACTTAATTAAGTAAGCATGCCAAATATGAAGTCTCTATCTCCCATGGTTCAAAAGTTATGGTGAAGGTTAAAGTTGACAACAGACAGACAGATAAACAGACAAACAGACAGGACAAAAACAATATACACCTCAGATCTACCCATCTGGGTGCATAAAAAAGAAGTCTTGTGTCAATGCTCAGTAGTAATACCCCCACTCTAATAAAAATATATGCTCTCAATCTCATTATGGGTTTTGGTGAAATAAAGGTTTTTATTTTTCATTAGAACTTCATATTTCTTGTCAAAGAATTTTCAATAAACTGTAAATGCAGAAATATTCATTGGATATTCATTTTCATTTATTTTGTTGTTATAGGTACCAGTACTACTGAGTTTTACTTTGGAAAAAACAAAATTTAATGCCTGGAAACTTTTTTTAGGCGACAGATCAATGAAATTTTACCCCTACTAAAATTTGTGCTTCTACAAAAATATGAAAATATATCATGATATGAAAAGACAAATTGTCATTAACTTCTTTTTCCATCCTAATTAATTTACCAACAGATATTTTATTAGTTTGAATTTTAATTTAGTCATTGCATAGAGAAATTAAGCTTAAACTATTCAAAAGTACATGACCAACATATGGTGCAGAGCAATGGATGAATACGGATAGCAACAGTTTACCTTATAGTAAACCAAATTTGTAAAAATAAATAAACTAGATATGTACCTTCCACCCCTGAGGTGTGTTGAGAAACAGCTGGACACTGTTCATTGTCACATTCTATTTTCTCTTCAATATCCTCAGTACCAAGCTTAAAAAATTCAGCTGAAATAACAAAAAATATGATATACATCATTTACATGACAATGTGATAGTCAGAAATGCAGAAAAAAGTCATCTATTTTCAAAATTATAGCCCTTACTCTAGCTTCTTATACTTTAATGAATATTTATCATTTTATATATTGTATTTATATTTTAATTTATTTTCTCTTTTTATACACGAGTAGGATTTTATTTCTAAATAATTTGATCATTAGGAATAGTATTCTCACTATTCTGGCTTCAGAGTAATACAGTAAAACACAGACCAACTTATAAAAATCTACAGGATTTCAACCTCACTTTTACAAGAGGAACTAATTCATACGTATAGTTTAAAATAGAGTTTGATTGGCTGTTTTATTTCTCCATTTTTTTTTTCTTTTTGGACAAAGAGAGTATATGGGATGTGTTAATTGGGTTGTAATTTAACTGCCTATATGATTATATGAAGCCCCTTTTAAAAACTTTCCACAGATTCCCGGATATAAATGAAGTAATCATTTACAAAAATGTTTATGTACTCTGATTTTTTTTTTTGGTAGGTACATCTCTAGTTTTGTTGTTGTGTAATTTAGCACATTGAAGACCAACTTAAAAATTTATTAGTGCTTTCTGTTGTACTTGTGCAGTAAAAATATAGAAGGATCATTTATTCATTGCTTTATAAATTTTCAATCTTAAACTAAAAGATGTTAATCTCGGAGAAATGATAAGCCTTAATTTTTTAAAATATTGCAGACAACATGCATTTCCTTATTAATAAAAAAAATCCTCAGATTGGATGGAGGGGGGAAGGGGCTTTGAGTTTTTATTAGTGTCCTGGACATTCATATAATAGGTGTTGTTTGTGGGTTATGCAATATCACATGTATACAATGTACCAACCTTGAACCTATCATCAATGATCATCCTCAATGTCCACTTTAGTGGAGTAAGTTTTTTCTGTGCCTTTCAGAACGAGAGTCTGTGCAATATACCTTGCCAATATGTGCTTGGCGCTCAACTGTGACTCGAAGACATAAATTTGGACTTACTATAGAATCGATAGATGGGACATTTAGAAATGGTCTTCCACAGGTTATCGAATGCAGTAACATTCCATTTGATTGATAAGAGATTCCAACACCAGATGTAATCACACATTTTGAACACTTAAAAGGTATTCATATTGATCCCCTCGATGAGAAGAAAAACATTTTACTTCTTATTGGAATAGGCTGACCAGAAATTCACCATGTACTGGAACAGAAGACGGGGCCAAGGACATTTTTCCAGAGGCTACCACTTGGTTGGGTAGTGATTGGTAACGATTGTCTAGGAAACACATGTACACCATTGACTGTAGCTAGCGTCTACAAAACTACAATCCTGAGAAGTGGACGACCATCTGCCGTTGATCCATGTGATAATCACCTAGCTGTTTTAATAGATGCTGAAAAGGTGACAGAATTGGACATGTTTGTTCGGACAATGGACGATGAAATAGGGATACTCTCTCGACGACCGAAGTTTTATGGAAATAATGGATAAGAAGTTAAAGAAAACACCAGATGGTCATGGGGAATAAGGAGTAACGTTCCCCTTTATCCAATAATAGAAAGAAGCGCTGAAAAGTGCACAGATATTACAGAAGGATTTCTAACGGGACCATTTTCGGTCTTTCATGACAAAGCTGCTGCAGAATGGACAGGCGCACCATCAACGAAAAGGGGACCAAGTAAGAGTGGTTTTTGATTCTTCAGCTAATTACAAGGGAATCTCACTAAACGCTGTTTTGATGTCAGGACCTGTGGTTATGAACAGTCTAGTTGGTGTCTTACTTCACTTCCGCAAGGAGCCAGTTGCTCCAATGGCGGATATACATCAAATGTTTTATGGATTTTTCATGACGCAGCCTCATCGCAATTTCTTGCATTTTTTTGGGCACAAGTAGCTACGTGAGTATAGGATGTGTGTCCACGTTTTTGGAAATTTCGTTTCTCCGGCGGTTGTGACCTTTGGTCTCCGTCCTTGTGTGGAACAATCTGATGATCCGGAAGTGAAGGAATTTCACCAATTTTATGTAGACGATGGTTCGGCATCCTTTCCAACAGAAGAGGAAGTATTAGTGTATTACGAAAGACTCTGTTTAAAGAGGGATAACTTAAGATCCATAAGATAGCGTCCAATAGTAAGACTGTAAGGAATAATCTTTTCACAGAGGACTTAAAAACTTTAGATATTGCTAAGGCTTGCAGCACAGGCTTTGACTGATCTCAGACCTCAACACAGACACATTCACGTATCAAGTGCGGGACAATCAGAAACTATCTATCAGGACAGGAGTGCTGTCTGCGGTCAATAGTCTATTTGTCACTCTCGGAATGATCGCCCCAGTCGTACTCCAGGGAAAGATCAATCGGGCGTTATAGTATTTGATCACGTGACCGACTTCATGTCATACCCCAATGAAACTCTAAAAATGATATCTTATTTCTTAAATTCCTACATGGACTGTGTTTGCATGTGTTTTTAGATGCCCCAGAGCAAGTGATTGCTGCAGTCGTATTCCTGAAATTTATTGACAGTAATAGAACTCTTCATATAGGATTCACATATTGGTAGTACAAAATAGCACCAAACCATGGCCACACCATACATAAAAATATCCCGTTAATTAAGGTACGTGTTGGGACATTATTGTTCTATAAAATATGAAATTTTCACTTCATTCCGGAAGTTCTATTAAATTTTATCGTAAATTTTACACGGAATGTCCAAACAAATGAGGCCTTGAAAATGACGTCAAAAGGAGGGAGGGGTTTCCGTTTCCAACATTCTATAAAGTTTTGCCCCTGAAAAAAAAAACTGGTATAGATCTGAAATATGTTGAAACTGGCTACAGAGAAATAATATGCATCCATAGTACTTTTCTTTTAATGTCAAAATAGATTCAGAGAGAAAAGGGATACACAGTAAATGTCGATTTGCAGTCAAGGTGTCAAAAATCAATCACGTCAAAAAATGACGTTGATCATGCGTTATAGATATTGAACTCCCAAAACTAAAATATGCTGGCACAATCAAGCTAGGATATTTCCCCATGTATTAATCCATTTGGAATATTATATTCATTGAAACCACTGTTCATGACATTGTAAATTCAAATAAACAAGGCGGGTTTCAGTCCTAACTCAGCTCGAGGGAATCTTATCAAAAAATGTATGAGATAGAAGAAGCGGACATAAAAAAAAACTATGACGTTATCGGACGTCATGAAAATAAACGAAGACAGCGCCGGGTGATCATATTATGTCGTTTTAATTTTATAATAAATTGGCAAATAATGAACGTATCAGGCTAAAATTTTCAACATTTCTTTATTCTTTGTTGTTTTATGTTCCGTATAAATTTTGAAAGCACAAACTACATAGTATTAATTTTATAGCCTCAGTCCACGAACTTTTTGATAACCCCTCGTATTTACAGAATACGATTAGACGGATCTGCATTTACGTCAGTTACCGTGTTGCAAGGATCCACAGGTCATCTCGGCCTGATCAGTGGTATTGCATGAGGTCCAAAATAACTCCTGCAAACATAGGAACCAGGATAGTTCTTGACTGAAAGGTCCAGACTTCTTTTACACAGAAACAAACTTATTTCCCGATCATGACAAGAGGCAGAGTACTCCTCTATATTGCACCTTATCCCGACCTTGATGTTTGAGAGCTCTAAGTTTGCTATGATCCTGATTCGAATTGTTTGAATTGACTCTAGGACTTGAACATTGTTCGTTATCTCAATAATTTATTTTTATGTTTTTTTTTTAAATAAAAAAGTGCATGATGTCAAAATTTGGTACTGCTATACCATAAATAATGGGTTTTTTTCATTGTAGATTAAGGATTACAGTATCACTTTAATCTGAATAAGACATTTAAGCATTCTGTAAAAGTTTCGCTTCCCACTAAGTGCAGGGTTCTCCATAATTTGAAAATTAACTGTGGCGCAAGACTTGCGCGAAGTACTGATATTTGTGATAATTTCGCGACCAATTCGCGAAGGAATCACAAATAAAATTGAAAAACACACAGCACCTATGGATCTATGTTTCAATACAAATAGCATTAATTTTTTGGCAAAATGTTTGATGAATGAAGGAATAATGATTTTAAAAATGATATGGTTTTAATATAATGTAGAACAAATATCAAATTATTTCCACAAAATATAAGCTCTGAATAAGCCCCCCCCCCTTCTCTTAAACACACATAAGAAGTAAATAAATACCAGATATTTGCTATCAGAAACAGAAAAAAGTATCAGTAATAACAGGTTTTATGTATTTAACCCTAATTTAATAAAATATTGTTTTCAAAAGGTAAATATACACATTAGGTGTTCATTAAATATCGACAGAGGAAATTCTGGTAGGTCGCATTGGACCAGAGCGATTAGGTTACAGACTACTAATTTTACCCCTATTTCATTGACCACTCAAGTAGTTCCAGTTTAAAAATAGAGGTTTTTTCTTAAAAATTCTTTGGGGTGTTTATGGGGTGGACTGATGTTATTTTTGGGTATAGATGGAAAGGAGGGGGGTTGAAAAAAAATATAAAATTGTTAATATGTGAAATTTTGCACTTAAACGCGTAGTAGTAAGGGTGTAAAGAGGCCAATATTTACCCTTTCCCCGAAGAGAAAGTGAAAAAAGCAGGGTAGGGGTTATTTGCGATGCCTTAGCAGGAACTGCATGCGATAAATTTTCCTGAGAGTCTGAAAAAATTTTTGGACTTGAATTCTTCTTACTCTGTGCCAAGTTTCAGATAAGTTGAGCTGGTGTAATTTTTTTTATCATTTTTTATAGCATAAAGGAATGTATAGCAAAATAATTGGTAGTCTGTGTCCTATGAGATCAAAGGTCAAATCTCACGTTAATCAATTTATTGGCACTTTTCGGATAATTTGGAACTAATTATGCAAATTGTTGACAAATTTAATGGAAAAAATTGTATTTTGGAGAAGTTAAATGGATTTAGAAAATTGAAAAGGGGGAGGGGGCACCTGCTCAGGTTGTCAAAGGGTATGACGTAATGTGTGCAATTGATGTGTGTCAAGAATTTATGCAATATGAATTTTGATTCTACATATAATGTTGTAGGTGACATAAAACCCATTCCTCGCCTATCCTGTTATTTTAGATGCCAAATGGAGTTCAAAAACCAAGGTATGTTTCAATCATTTGATTGGTCAGATTACACTGTTGTTAATAGGAAAGAAATGCCTAATTTCTCAAAACTTTGGCTACTTGGTGTCTGTAATTATAGTTGACACAGTTACTTATTAATTTGACACAATTTCTTATTAATTATGAATGTGAACTAAAGTTGATATTCTCAAAAAAATATTTTTTTTTCAGTGGCTCATTTCTAGATGACTGATGTGGGATTGCAAGCAGTTATAGCCTGGATGGGTGGCTTCATACCAGTAGCAGAGACAATGATCATTCAGAAAACAAGATACAGCTGTCAACAATATTACAGTCCACAACAGCCAAATTAAAGGTATATAGCATCTGACTCTTAAGTTTGTATTATTTTTTGTGTTTGATTTCTTTTTTACACTGTTTTCATCTGTCATCATCATCTCTTGCCAATCAATGTGTACTCTCTGAAACTTTCTCTTTTTCCTTCTTCTTCTGGAATTGAATATCTGCTGTCTGATTGCTGGCACTGATCTGTGATTGTCCAAGACAGGGGAGGTCAGTAAGGTGCTCAACATTTCATATGGGATGTTTGGTCCTACTGACTTCTTCTACTCTTGTGGCATCTTGGACATCATTGTCGGTGGTTGCATATCAGACAAAATCATCATTTTTTGACAAGGACATGTGTTTTCAAGATTTTGGATAAACGCTGTGCAGAAATAGTGATCCACAGGTAAGACAGAATTTATGTAC